ATTAACTATTTCAGATCAAGAGGATCAAGATCTAAATCCCAATCAGCAAGAGGGTTGAGTAGTTCATTATCTGGACTCCCTTCAAGTGTTAGTGAAGGTTATCCTAAGATACTTAATTATTCGCTTTTTGTTTTATTTCTTTAATTTTCGTTTATCTTTTATAAGAGACATTCTCGTAAATCTATTGAGCATTCAAAATTATTATGTAAAGAATATAAATATAACTCTATTAATCACTTCTACATTTAATTTATGAATTTATTTTTTTTTAAGTTCCGAACCTCTACATTTACTTGTGTGCACGAATGACCCAGATTTGTTTTCCCATTATGTGTGATCGAACGACCCATGTACTTTCAATTGGATGGTCCTGACTTACTTCCTAAATAGGTGAGATCCAACGGTTGAGATCGGTCTACGCAAGCCCGAATGGACGACCCAGACTGTACACGGAGAGGTATTTAAACCTCTCTACCCGGACTCCCCAAAACCCTAGCTGCTAGAGATCATTAGAGAAGAAGAAGGGCAGCCGGAAAGTGAACCAGTCACTAGAGAAAAAGATCGGCCATCATTACCGCCGCATTGAAGACCCAAACCGATGCTAGTAAGTGATTTTTTCACTCGTTCGTTCCGTTTTTTCCATTCTAAACACCCAAAACCCTTATTGACACTGAAAAACCAAAGGGAAAGCCATAAACGAAGGGCAAATCTCAATTGAGTCGCCACACCCGAAATTAAAAAAACCCCTCTGGTGAGTCCGAATCCTTTTCCTGTTTCCTTTCATTTCTCGACCTTAGGCTATATAACAAGTTTTTGCTACAGGGCAACTAAAGGAAGGACGCAACCGCGAGGAAGAAGCGGTGGAGCTGTCGCACTAGAATCGCCGGTAAGTTTCGGTTCTCCTCTTTTTTCCACCAACAAAGATCACCTAACCCCGAATTGAGCAGGTTTTTACCCAGAACCGGTCGAAAAGGGCCTGACCGAGAGGAGGAGCCGCTATAGACAATGGAACCGGCGTTGGAGCATGGCGGTGTCGTTGTGCGTCAACCCTAAATTAGCTTATGAGATAATTTTAACCCTTTTTGGCCATTCGTTTTTGCATATTTCCATGATATTTGATGTATATTTCCTGTCTTCGCAGAAAAATCTGAGAAATTCGATAACCAAAAATCGCCAGAAAGCGTAATAGAAAAGACGATGTTCCAAACACTGACTTGGGATAAGAATTCCTCACATTTTCTCCTATTATGATTAAATTAAAGATAAATAAATAATAAACAAAAAATTATAAATGTTGGCAACCCCTTTATTAATTAAATACAGGCCACCAATTGAGGCAGTAATATATCAGTGTATAATTGCCTCTATCTCATCTATGTTGCCTATTTGTTATTATATTGCTTTAATTTTCTATTATTACTTCGTGTATATTAATTTATTGATTTTAATTATTTTTCTTGTTTATTTAGTTTACTCAACCATTTCCATCATTATCCATTAATTCAGTTTGAAATGAATGTCTTAATTACATTTTTTTGAATAATTGAGTCTTAATATATGTCGCCTATTAAATGACCGTTTTATTTTTCTGTAATTATGAAATGTAAGTGTTACATGTATTTGGTGGCTAGATGCTAATGGGAACTTGTCTGTGTATGCAACGTTGTTAAAAATTAAAAGGGCTTACTGGGTGTCATGGAAAATGGGTGGACAAACATGTTACATAGGGTAAACTCTATCGTGGACATTACTCTGAAGAATCCCATACTGGTAGGGGTTGGGAGTTATTTGTTTATGCTCATTACCAGACGGGTATTAAAGCGGTAGTGTGTTTGACATCCATTACCAGATGGGTTATGAGGATGGTTGGTTGATTAATAGAATAGATACTTGGTCTACATGTAGTGAGAACCCCTATGGACCTCCAGCAGTACCAGTAAATAAGTAAAAAAGGTAAAGGTTGATTATTGTTGGTCATTTAAAATATTTAATGTGAATTACTATTCTAGTTCTTTCCTTCATATATGACATCTATAAACTTAAAGGTGAGTGAGGAATAAATGTTTTCAGTTAAATGAATTTACTTAATAAAAAAATAAGCTTCATTAGTTGTTTTACGATTTCTACAAATTTTTAATTTTCCGTATTAGTGGTAAAATATTGATATTCTTATTGAGTTAGTGTACCTCATCCCTTTATTATTAATCATTTCATATAAGAACGATCAATATCTGGATCCTGAACAACAAAAAAATTAACAAAAATGTTGCCTCCCGTTTTTTCAGTTGCACTGCGGAGGTTGATCACAAAGGTATTCCATATTGTACTTTTCTTTCTTTTATGTTTTTCAATGAGTATTCATGTAGCCTTATTAGACATTTTAATTAAACTGTGCAATAAATGTAACCCCAAATTCTAAATTACTTTTACAAAACTAATAAATTTTAATATTATTTACTTAATCATTCTTGGACCATTATATAAATATTATGTGTTAATAAATAAAATCCTACATATAAATAATGTATATTTCTTAATATTAAAAATTAAATTATTAATATATAAATAACATAGTAAAAATTAAATATTTTTAGCAAATTCCAAACTACTTTGGTCTAAGACGAGGCTGAACTGAAAATTTTTCGGTGTCGTAGAGTCTACACTAAAGTTATATTAGTTTGATTTTTATTTCAAAATGTTTTTTTCTTTTGCAGTTCGTTCTAGTCTATATTAAAATTGCATTAGTTCTATTTTAATTTATAAATTTTTTTTTTTTTAACTTCAGTCGAATCCAAGTTCAATTTAGTTGAACTTCATACCAATGCACATCCCTAACCCAAATCATTTAGTTTTTCTTTTTAAGAAATAAAGATAAAGTTTCTTAGTCCAACCACTTACTTTAGAAGAAAAATTTAATATTGTATATACAGAAAATAGTTGAATTTCTTTTAAATTTTAACTACGTTGAATATGAATATGAACATTCTATAAATATCATAAAAATCTGAATGAATTATATAATTTATATGGTTTTAATATTTAATTTAAAATAGGTACTTTTTGTTCTTTCCTGAAAAATATGAAATACATTTGAGTTATTTAATTATATTTTGAATATGCAAGTTTTTACCCATTTGTAGATATGAGATAAAAAAACTTTATAAGGCAATTAAATTATTTTCTAAAAACAATAAATTTAATTATAGTTGTAAACAAAAATTATAGAAAAATTGAAAAATGTCGTTTACCAATTTAAATTTTAATTTACATTTTTTTTTTCTAATATATATATATATATATATATAAATTGGTCATGAATCTAGTCACCCACTCTTTGACCCCCACAAAAAAGGGTCACCCACTTCCTCTCTTTTGTCTCCTTTTTATCTCACAAACACCATCTTTCCAACATCAATCTATTCACAACTTTAACGACAAATTTCTTCCTTTTTAAAAAAAATAAAAAAAAAACTCATTTTTTTAAAAAAGAAAAAAAAAAAAAAAGGAACATGAAAATGTGGGAAACAGTAACAGAGCAAATGCACTGGCATGATGGAAAAAAGCTCCTCACTCCAAACTCCTTTCAATCATGTCTCACAGTCTTTCACTCCGTTAAATCTATTCTTATTTTTCCCCATTCAAAAAATTAATTCCTCCAACAGAGGCCAACGCTAATCTCACCTATCACACCACGCAGGTCTACACGTGTCACTCTCCTGGAGTCCTTTATCGGACTCTTAATACAGCTGTTTATTGTTTATTAACTGCTGGAAAGTAGGCTGTAATGCACGCTCACTCACCACCACAGATTAAGTTGGAAGTTAATGGTTCATCAAATTACCTAAACGCCCATTAAGAAATAAAATATTTGATTTCTTAAGATATAACCTATTTAATTAGTTCTTTAGAACAAATTAGTCAAGTATCCAAATTTTAATTAAAAAAACATTACTTTATAAATTTTAATTATTTCTGTTTGTTACATTAAATTTCTATCTTATTATACACTTATAGCTATGTAGTTCTCATATTATATGAGTTTTATAAACTAAATAATAAAAGATAAAATGTATCAAATATCTTTTTGTTTTTTTTTTCAGTTTTAAGACATAATAATTTTCATATAATATAGTAAATACTATAGCATAAAATATGATTATTAATATTACATGTCTTAATCAAAGTATTAGCAAAAACTTAAATATTGCAAGGAGAATGTGAAGTAAATAAATATGTATTAAATACTAAATTAAATTATAATGTATAATTATATTTTATATTTATTAGGTGGATTTTATTTCCAAAAAAATATTTATAAGGTGGATTCTGAAATAATTTATTTTTCTAATATAGTAAATAAATACAAACGTAAAATTCGATCGGGTTCTGTGGTAAATGGAAGTAAACCCCAAAGGCAGCATTTGACCGTTGGCCTTCAACGAAAAAACTGATAATATTGAAAAACAACTAAAACAAGAATCAAAAAGCGGTCAAGCCACTTTCTATTAAAAACTCAAAAAATGAAAAATAAAAAATATATTATTGGACTTTGTTATAAATATGTCACTGCCCGTGATTCTATCTTTTCCCCTCTCGCCTTTTTTCCTTTCCTTGACTCAGTCTCATCACCCACCCTTCATTTATTTTCTTTTTTTTTTTTCCTATTAAAAAAATGGAAAAGACACTCGAAACGAACACATG